GATTCCAAACATATAGTTGGATCAAACCACCCCCCCAGTGAATGAATAGAATACGCAAATCCTAAGGATGAATGCATCACCAATAGCTGAAAAGCAGAACGTTTCCCTGCTTGATTCCATCAAAACCAATACTCTGATCAACGCTATGGATTGGCAAGAGGATGGAGCTCTCTGTGTGAATGAATTGTGTTCACGATAGAATTCTGCCTAAACATGAACAAGTTCACAAGAAGTAGGCATTACAACCATTACATTGTGGGAATTGCATTACAAGTGCATTTATAAGCAGGAATAGGTATAGTTTGTTAAAAGAACCATGACATTGTGATTATTATTATTATTATGTAAATTGTTATTTTGTAACTATGTAAGGCATTACAGATGCATTTATAGTGTTTGTACATTTATACAGGCTGTTAGAAGATTACAGATGAAGGGTACAAAGTTTAAAATGTAGGAAACAAAACATTTAGCAAAATAATGAATCTTTAGTCAAAAACAAAACTTAATTTTAAACATTTTGAATGTTAAGATCTCGATGTAATAGTTTAGTGTAACTCCAAACATAAGTGGAAGTAAATCAGACTTTTTAACAATCCTTTATTTCATGCTGATCAATGAGTTTCAAAGTTCTTCATTCAAAACACTCTGGCATATTGGCATTAATCAGTGACCTTTGTTTGATTTTTGACACAAAACAAAAACAAAACAAAGATGAAAAAGAAGATATTCCCCATCGGACGCAGAGCCGTAGAACAGGACTACACTGAATGAAGAAACAAAAGGTCTGCTTTAGACCTGTCTCCTGATATTTTCCAACTCAGCGAAAAGCCATTGTGCGAATGAAAAAAGTTAAGTTAAAAGCTTAGCATGGTATGTAAAAACAACTGTCCAACAGTTGTGTAATACAAGCAAATACTTTTCACTGGTCCCTATTGGAGCCACTATATTCACCCTGCATTTACAGGGCAAACAGTCTCACCGCTCTGGCTGTAAAACAAAGTTGAGATCATTTCAGTTGAAAACAAACAGGGCACATGGAGGTGGCTGTAACATTTTAACCAAGGCTAAGGAGACTTTATCTTACATTTATAAAGCACAAAGGAGATATTTCTTCAGAGAGACACTCCATTTTGTATTTTAAAGCATAGTCCAGGGAAGATTATACTGTAATATTTACACTTTCATTATTGTTGTTAGAAGTTTAATGCCAAAGAGGCTAAATGCTGCTATTGTCCTTCTTTCTCTCATTTGGACCTCATTCAAAACATTTTTTTAAAAAGAGTCAAAATGGACTATAAAGTGAGTTGTCAAAAAGACTGCTTATCATACATTACCAATAACCTGATAAAAATAGCAGATGTATATAGCAGGTCTGGTCGATGAACCTTGCTGTGCCACATCATTAGCATGGTCAGAACACGAGGTTGACTTTCCTTGTCCGTGATTAAAGTTGCTCACAGCTGTTTGATTCAAGAGCTTGTTTATCATTTCAGTGAGCAACCTGATAGTACACATTAAACTACCCCTATATACCACTGCCCCTTCTGGTCAGATACAGTTGAAGTCGGAAGTTTACATACACCTTAGCCAAATACATTTAAACTCAGTTTTTCACAATTCCTGACATTTAATCCTAGTAAAAATTTCATGTTTTATGTCAGTTAGGATCACCACTTAATTTTAAGAATGTGAAATGTCAGAATAATAGTAGAGAGAATGATTTATTTCAGCTTTTATTTCTTTCATCACATTCCCAGTGGGTCAGAAGTTTACATACACTCAATTAGTATTTGGTCGCATTGCCTTTAAATAGTTTAACTTGGGTCAAACGTTTCGGGTAGCCTTCCACAAGCTTCCCACAATAAGTTGGGTGAATTTTGGCCCATTCCTCCTGACAGAGCTGATGTAACTGAGTCAGGTTTGTAGGCCTCCTTGCTCGCACACGCTTTTTCAGTTCTGCCCACACATTTTCTATAGGATTGAGGTCAGGGCTTTGTGATGGCCACTCCAATACCTTCAGTTTGTTGTCCTTAAGCCATTTTGCCACAACTTTGGAGGTATGCTTGGGGTCATTGTCCATTTGGAAGACCCATTTACGACCAAGCTTTAACTTCCTGACTGATGTCTTGAGATGTTGCTTCAATATATCCACATAATTTTCCTTCCTCATAATGCCATCTATTTTGTGAAGTGCACCAGTCCCTCCTGCAGCAAAGCACCCCCACAGCATGATGCTGCCACCCCCGTGCTTCACGGTTGGGATGTTGTTCTTCGGCTTGCAAGCCGCCCCCATTTTCCTCCAAACATAATAATGGTCATTATGGCCAAACAATTCTATTTTTGTTTCATCAGACCAGAGGACATTTCTCCAAAAAGTACGATCTTTGTCCCCATGTGCAGTTGCAAACCGTAGTCTGGCTTTTTTATGGCGGTTTTGGAGCAGTGGCTTCTTCCTTACTGAGCGGCCTTTCAGGTTATGTCGATATAGGACTCGTTTTACTGTGGATATACATACTTTTGTACCTGTTTCCTCCAGCATCTTCACAAGGTCCTTTGCTGTTGTTCTAGGATTGATTTGCACTTTTCGCACCAAAGTACGTTCATCTCTAGGAGACAGAACGCGTCTCCTTCCTGAGCGGTATGACGGCTGCGTGGTCCCATGGTATTTATACTTGCGTACTATTCTTTGTACAGATGAACGTTGTACCTTCAGACGTTTGGAAATTGCTCCCAAGGATGAACCAGACTTGTGGAGGTCTACCATTTTTTTTCTGAGGTCTTGGCTGATTTCTTTTGATTTTCCCATGATGTCAAGCAAAGAGGCACTGAGTTTGAAGGTAGGCCTTGAAATACATCCACAGGTACACCTCCAATTGACTCAAATGATGTCAATTAGCCTATCAGAAGCTTCTAAAGCCATGACATCATTTTCTGGAATTTTCCAAGCTGTTTAAAGGCACAGTCAACTTAGTGTATGTAAACTTCTGACCCACTGGAATTGTGATAGTGAATTTTAAGTGAAATAATCTGTCTGTAATCAATTGTTGGAAAAATTAATTGTGTCATGCACAAAGTAGATGTCCTAACCGACTTGCCAAAACTATAGTTTGTTAACAAGACATTTGTGGAGTGGTTGAAAAAACGAGTTTTAATGACCTATATACCCCTGCCCCTTCTGGTCAGAATATGAAACCTATATGCCACTGCTGCAGTCAAATGTTTGTTCAGATGGCGAACTAGAGGAGCACATTTTTTTCAAAAATAATTCATCTTTAGAGTAAACATGGATAAATAGTTCACTGATACATTTCTAAGGTATCTTACTGTAGCATTTTTACAGATGGATGCTATTTATCAAATATAAAACGGAGCAAACATAAACATGATCTGGATCCGCATTCTATGAACATTGACATGACAACTCTGGATCAGCATTCTATGAACATAAACATGGCAACTCTGGATGCTTGGCTCTGTTGTGCTTCAACAGTGGTCCAGTATAATGCATCTGAAATGGGGTGTCTCTCCATCTGGACAGCTGCAAGTCAATGTGTTATTCAGTGTAGTTTTCAGCTGTCCACATCTCACTCAATGCTTCAAAGAGTGATTATGAATGGAGAAAGACAGACATATAGTACATATGGTAATTATGTATGTTCTTCGTGCTATCATACAGGGTTCTAACCATTTGTCGTGCTGGTTTTGGTTTCTCATTGAGTACGGACCAAATTAGTCTTTGACGAGTACTAAGTGCAAGTTGCTTGTAGGCTACCACCCAGCCTTACTAAATTACATTGACTAAGGTTTAAACAAAGTTGTACAACTCTGACCAGACCATTTTCCAGGGGTGGTTTCCTTTTATGTCAGAAGGTTCTTTCTTCCTAAAAATAAATTGACATCAAGATGAGGGTAGTAATTTGTGATTACCGGTTGTGTCTGTGTCAGTTAGTGAGGTACTGTTGCATCAGCCCAAGAATACTCACACAGTTTGCAGTAAGACTACGTACAGAACTTTTTGAAGGGTGAAACATTGCATGCATGTATGTCAAAGAGAAATCACTTTAATATTAAAGGTTGGATGTTTTGCGTGCCATGTTATGCTGTAGGTGGATAATCACAAAGACACTTATACGCTATGTTAATTACTTCATACATTATTTATTTAGGAAAAATATTTAGTTGATTTTCTTCATGGGCAACAGTGATAAAAACAATCCCAATAGGTTCTGTACAATGCTTCTTAAATACATTTATACTGGAAAACAAAGTCACATTGACCTGAACTGCCTTATATACATTAGACATATTTGCAAAATATTTGTTTTAACTTAAATTATATCAAAATGAAATCTACAAAAATCACAAACAAATGGAACACATAACACAATTAAATTAAAAGAATACATCTTTGAAAAACCCCCCCAGTATTTTTACAAATTTAAAGGCAGTATTTCCCCTCTCTAAACCAATTCAGAAGACTGCCTCAAAGGATTTACAAATATACACTGCAGTCAGTGCATACTCATTATACACAGTAATTAACTAAAATGTGTATGCTTAAATACATATTAAAAAGCAACCCTCCATAGTGCAATGAGGTAAAACTGTCCTCACAGGCAGTGCAACAAATCCATATTACGCACGTTCCTGGGAAACATAAGTTGTGAGAGCGCGGGCCAGTGTGGTCCAACATCCTTTATCTGCAGCCACTGTGCTTACTTCAGTTGAGAACCAGCTCATTCTGAATATCACTGTCAATGTCTTAGTCTCACAGCAGCAGTCACACGAAGGGAAACCTTCCCCCTGGGTTTGAGCAGCATTCACCGGAGTAAAACCTCCAGCACAGAAGACATGCTACAGCTCAGCTGTGGTGTTACACCTGGGGAAGACAAGAGGGAAAGATGCTTTAGTTTCAGAGTGTTTGGCTATTCGTGGACCAGTGAAAACGAAATATGCAAACTGCAAAGAGATATTATCAGCAGTGAAAAAGAGGCAACTCAACTCACCTCAGTTGCAATGATACATTCATCTTTCTCGTCTGATATGACGTAGACTGACTGGTACTTTGTGTCGTTGCAAATCGATGCTTCGTTGCACATCGACTCCTCTGGACGTTTCTTTTCTGAGGTGTCACTGAGAACACAAGAAAAATAAATACATTAACATCAACATTCACTCTTCAGACACAAGCATGACTACTCCCATATGTGGCACATTATTTATATCTAAATGTGTAGATATTCACCTCTTTAAATGTTTTCTGTGTTTCTCTTCAAAGTCAATGTCGGAACAAAGAGATTCCGAACAATTTGATTCGGAACACTTTGCTTCGCTCTTTTCTTGGTCCTCTTTCAACAAATCTTCTGGCTTTAGCTCATGCACCAGATTATAATCCGTTGACGAGTATCGGGACTTGTAGCCATTCTTCTCTCCTCCAGCATTGTCCGAGTGAAAGTCCACTTTCTTATTGGTGTTCTTGACCCCTGTCGTGCCGATCACGCTGACAGCTAGGTCCTTGTCAGGCCGTTGACAGTTGTTGGCCAGGTTGTTCATGGTCTCACTCTCACTGTGGTGGTCACCCTGCTGGCTCCTCTGCTGCACCTTGACCCGGATGTAAACCACCAGCACGGCACAGGCCAGCAGCAGCAGCGCCAGGATAATCCCAGCACACACTGCGGTCCAGAGGAATGTGCCTTGGTCCTCTTCAGCAGAGTATCTCTTACCAGCTCCCTCCACCCCGGGCTGTCCCTGGGGGTGCTCTGGCAGGAGGAACTGGCAGTTATGGCCGCCGTAGCCTGGCACACAAGCGCACACGTAGCGGTTATTCCTCTCCTGGCAGGTGGCTCCGTTGTGGCAGGGCTTGTGCTCGCATTGGTTGATTGGCGAGCTGCAGTTCTTGCCAGTGTATCCAGGTGGGCAGGTGCAGGTGTAATCGTTCATGCCATCCAAGCATGTGCCACTGTTCTGGCAGGGGTAGTTGGCGCACTCGTCAATGTTGTCCTCGCAGTTGGCTCCGGAGAATCCCTCAGGGCACTGGCACGTGTAGGAGTTCACAAGGTCCATACACTGGGCACCTGGAGACATTAAAAATACATGTTAAACCGTCTGTTCCAGTATTCATTAATGTCATCAGACTTTGAATAGAAAGGTTGAACTGATAAACTCAGAACTGGAGATATTTGTTTCAGCTTACCATTGGAGCATGGGTTGGAGGTGCAGTGGTCGATCTTCTTCTCACAGTTGAATCCGGCATAGCTGAGAGGACACTGGCAGTAGTATCCTCCCACTGGGTTGTCAGCACAGCGTCCGCCGTTAAAGCAAGGCCCATCGGCACAGGTCATGGCACTGAGCTCACAGTTGTTGCCATAGAAGCCTGGGGGGCAGGCACATGTGTATGTGTTTTCTTGATCCTGTCAGAGGAAAGACAAAGCACTTGCTAAGAAAAAGTTACAACTCCCTAATGACTTGTTATTAATTTGTTACGCTACATTCACCTCGAGGAATGCCTGCAAGTTCGAGCATAGCAGCACCACACTCTATGTGACATTACATCACTGAGAAATTCTTTCTAATGTAACTAATGAGGGGCAGCTCAGACAAGAATACTTACAGTGCAGCTTCCCCGATTTCGGCAGGGGTTGTCGGAACATTCGTTGACCTCAATCTCACAGCTGGCCCCAGTGAAGCCGGGCCTACAGGAGCAGGTGTAGCTACCCTGGCCAGTATTCGTACAAGTGGCTCCATTCATGCAGGGCTTGTGGTGTGTGCAGTAGTTGAGATCTGAAACAGACAATGGCACATGTGGATTAGTCTTCTGAAACGTAATGTACAGTGATATCCAGGATGTTTTTATGACTTGTTTGAAGGCCAAGATGTGTCCTATTCTCTGAACCTGATTGGTATGGGGGCTTAGAGAACATAGTGGGGATACTGTATGTCATCTCAACACCAGCACAGTCTGAATCTGGTGGAGAAGGATAGAAGAGCACGAGTCAGTTGCATATGGGAGATAAACAGAACTCACCTTGGTTGCAGAAGAGGCCACCCCACCCCTCCAGGCAGCTACACTGCCACGGCTGCTGGCAGGTGCCATGAAGACACCCTGGGTAGCGGATGCAGTCATCACAGTAACGCCCACTGAAGCCAACTCTACACCTGTAACCCCACACAATGAACATGGTTAGATATCTGGCATATATGAAACTATACCAAACGGTGATCCTGTTGACTGGTGTTTAACCCAGACAGAAGATGGACAGGTCATTGGGACTTACTTGCATTCACCAGGCTTGTCACAGAACCCATGCTCCTCGCCACAACCAGGAAGACAGATCGCTGCAATGAGATAGACCATCACAAGTGAATCATGGGAATCTAACTCATTGGAACACTGGTTCATTCATTTCAGTGAGCTGGTGGCCCCATTAGCCGTTACCTAGAAAATATGCTCCCCTCGTCACCAGGGGGACCAACATTCTGCTTAACACAGTTGCTGCCACACAAAGGCTTCTTTTTCTCCTAACTATGGGTCAGAAATCCTTTTTTCTTTCTGCTCATACAGCCCCTCCCCTTAATGTCCCTGAGTCTGTGCAGATAAGAGTGGACAGCTGGTGTACATGGTGCCAGTACAGGACAGCTGGTGTACATGGTGCCAGTACAGGACAGCTGGTGTACATGGTGCCAGTACAGGACAGCTGGTGTACATGGTGCCAGTACAGGACAGCTGGTGTACATGGTGCCAGTGCAGGACAGCTGGTGTACATGGTGCCAGTACAGGACAGCTGGTGTACATGGTGCCAGTACAGGACAGCTGGTGTACATGGTGCCAGTGCAGGACAGCTGGTGTACATGGTGCCAGTACAGGACAGCTGGTGTACATGGTGCCAGTGCAGGACAGCTGGTGTACATGGTGCCAGTGCAGGACAGCTGGTGTACATGGTGCCAGTGCAGGACAGCTGGTGTACATGGTGCCAGTACAGGACAGCTGGTGTACATGGTGCCAGTGCAGGACAGCTGGTGTACATGGTGCCAGTGCAGGACAGCTGGTGTACATGGTGCCAGTGCAGGACAGCTGGTGTACATGGTGCCAGTGCAGGACAGCTGATGTACATGGTGCCACTACAGGATAGCTGGTGTACATGGTAGCAGTGCAGGACAGCTGGTGTACATGGTGCCAGTGCAGGACAGCTGGTATACATGGTGCCAGTGCAGGACAGCTGGTCTATTGTCTACTCTCACTCAGCAGCTGCCCGCTTCCAACAATACCTCACCGCACTAAGCCAATCAACGGCAAGCACACTGCCAAGTAGCCAATCAGGTATTACATTTAATCTATGGCTCGCGTGTGATTATTCGGCAAACTTCTCTAACTTAAATTTGCCTAAACAGTAGCCTAGACGCCTGTTGCAACCCACATTTTTGATAAGTGAAACTATTTGGTAATAACGCATGATTTATTCTGACTAATGACTGCAAATTAACCACATTAATACTTTTGTAAAAGAAAAAGAAAAACGGAACAACAAAAGTTAGTATGGGCAAAGCAGAAGTAAGGAGGTTGCGGCCTACTTACGTTCTGAGCAGTAGGTTCTTTTCCATCCTGAGTTGCAAATGATCTCTCCACGGTCCCCACAGGTGAAGTGACCAAAGGCATCATCTCGTGGACGGCAGAAAACAGAACAACCCTCCCCGTAGTAATGCTCATCACAAATAAATCGGTAGGAGTACTTCAGCTCTGTTCTTCCACTAGTCTGTAAATCAGAGGACCACTCATCTCCCACTGTCAGATGCTTCTGAGTGGTGAAGCGACTGATCAGTTGTTCAGGGTTATCTGAAAATTGTGAATACAGGAATTCGTACATATCCCTTTTTTTTTATTTACAATGAATCAATGAATCAATTAGTTTGGTGACCTGTTGCTCTCTGTGGAATTTACCTGTTGAAAGATCATCGTAAGAATCCGTGTGTAGGGCCTCAATGATGAGAGAGAATGTCCCCTGTTGAAAAAAAGGAAGAAACAATTATAATAATGTACAACTGTGCCAAAGGATTAGGAGATGCTGAGGCATGATAATAATGTACAACTGTGCTAAAGGGTTAGGAGATGCTGAGGCAAGATAATAATGTACAACTGTGCCAAAGGATTAGGAGATGCTGAGGCATGATAATAATGTACAACTGTGCCAAAGGATTAGGAGATGCTGAGGCATGATAATAATGCAAAACTGTGCCAAAGGATTAGGAGATGCTGAGGCATGATAATAATGTACAACTGTGTGAAAGGGTTAGGAGATGCTGAGGCATGATAATAATCTACAACTGTGCCAAAAGGTTAGGAGATGCGGAGGCATGATAATAATGTACAACTGTGCCAATGGGTTAGGAGATGCTGAGGCATGATAATAATGTACAACTGTGCCAAAGGATTAGGAGATGCTGAGGCATGATAATAATGTACAACTGTGCCAAAGGATTAGGAGATGCTGAGGCATGGTAATAATCTACAACTGTGCCAACGGGTTAGGAGATGCTGAGGCATGGTAATAATGTACAACTGTGCCAAAGGATTAGGAGATGCTGAGGCATGGTAATAATCTACAACTGTGCCAAAGGGTTAGGAGATGCTGAGGCATGGTAATAATGTACAACTGTGCCAAAGGATTAGGAGATGCTGAGGCATGATAATAATGTACAACTGTGCCAAAGAATTAGGAGATGCTGAGAAATGATAATATTGTACAACTGTGCCAAAGGGTAAGGAGATGCTGAGGCATGGTAATAATCTACAACTGTGCCAAAGGATTAGGAGATGCTGAGGCATGGTAATAATGTACAACTGTGCCAAAGGGTTAGGAGATGCTGAGGCATGATAATAATCTACAACTGTGCCAAAGGGTTAGGAGATGCTGAGGCATGATAATAATCTACAACTGTGCCAAAGGGTTAGGAGATGCTGAGGCATGATAATAATGTACAACTGTGCCAAAGGATTAGGAGATGCTGAGGCATGAAAATACTGTACAACTGTGCCAAAGGATTAGGAGATGCTGAGGCATGGTAATAATCTACAACTGTGCCAAAGGGTTAGGAGATGCTGAGGCATGGTAATAATGTACAACTGTGCCAAAGGATTAGGAGATGCTGAGGCATGATAATAATGTACAACTGTGCCAAAGGATTAGGAGATGCTGAGGCATGATAATAATGCACAACTGTGCCAAAGGATTAGGAGATGCTGAGGCATGATAATAATGTACAACTGTGCCAAAGGATTAGGAGATGCTGAGGCATGACAATAATGTACAACTGTGTGAAAGGGTTAGGAGATGCTGAGGCATGATAATAATCTACAACTGTGCCAAAAGGTTAGGAGATGCGGAGGCATGATAATAATGTACAACTGTGCCAATGGGTTAGGAGATGCTGAGGCATGATAATAATGTACAACTGTGCCAAAGGATTAGGAGATGCTGAGGCATGATAATAATGTACAACTGTGCCAAAGGATTAGGAGATGCTGAGGCATGGTAATAATCTACAACTGTGCCAACGGGTTAGGAGATGCTGAGGCATGGTAATAATGTACAACTGTGCCAAAGGATTAGGAGATGCTGAGGCATGGTAATAATCTACAACTGTGCCAAAGGGTTAGGAGATGCTGAGGCATGGTAATAATGTACAACTGTGCCAAAGGATTAGGAGATGCTGAGGCATGATAATAATGTACAACTGTGCCAAAGAATTAGGAGATGCTGAGAAATGATAATATTGTACAACTGTGCCAAAGGGTAAGGAGATGCTGAGGCATGGTAATAATCTACAATTGTGCCAAAGGGTTAGGAGATGCTGAGGCATGGTAATAATGTACAACTGTGCCAAAGGGTTAGGAGATGCTGAGGCATGATAATAATCTACAACTGTGCCAAAGGGTTAGGAGATACTGAGGCATGATAATAATGTACAACTGTGCCAAAGGATTAGGAGATGCTGAGGCATGAAAATACTGTACAACTGTGCCAAAGGATTAGGAGATGCTGAGGCATGGTAATAATCTACAACTGTGCCAAAGGGTTAGGAGATGCTGAGGCATGGTAATAATGTACAACTGTGCCAAATGATTAGGAGATGCTGAGGCATGATAATAATGTACAACTGTGCCAAAGAATTAGGAGATGCTGAGGCATGATAATATTGTACAACTGTGCCAAAGGGTTAGGAGATGCTGAGGCATGGTAATAATCTACAACTGTGCCAAAGGGTTAGGAGATGCTGAGGCATGGTAATAATGTACAACTGTGCCAAAGGGTTAGGAGATGCTGAGGCATGATAATAATCTACAACTGTGCCAAAGGGTTAGGAGATGCTGAGGCATGATAATAATGTACAACTGTGCCAAAGGATTAGGAGATGCTGAGGCATAAAAATACTGTACAACTGTGCCAAAGGGTTGGGAGATGCTGAGGCATGATAATAATGTACAACTGTGCCAAAGGGTTAGGAGATGCTGAGGCATGATAATAATGTTCAACTGTGCCAAAGGATTAGGAGATGCTGAGGCATGATAATAATGTACAACTGTGCCAAAGATATAGGTGATGCTGAGGCATGATAATAATGTACAACTGTGCCAAAGGATTAGGAGATGCTGAGGCATGAAAATACTGTACAACTGTGCCAAAGTATTAGGAGATGCTGAGGCATGGTAATAATCTACAACTGTGCCAAAGGGTTAGGAGATGCTGAGGCATGGTAATAATGTACAACTGTGCCTGTCACGCCCTGGCTCTAGGGACTCTTTTATGTTGAGCCAGGGTGTGTAGAGTGTATGTTTTGTGCTCTTTGTTCCATTCTAGTATTGTATTTCTATGTTGGCCAGTGTGGTTCTCAATCAGAGGCAACGAGTGTCAGCTGTTGCTGGTTGTCTCTGATTGGGAACCACATTTTAGACAGGCTGTTTTCCCACAGTGGTTGTGGGATCTTGTTCCAAGTAGGTAGTGTTTATCAAAGGACGTCACGTTATCGTTTTGTTGTTTTTGTTCGTGTTATCGTTATCTTATTTAATAAATATGTTCGCAAATAACGCTGCGCATTGGTCCTCTGTTCCCGACGATCGTGACAGTGCCAAAGGATTAGGAGATGCTGAGGCATGGTAATAATGTACAACTGTGCCAAAGGGTTAGGAGATGCTGAGGCATGATAATAATGTACAACTGTGCCAAAGGATTAGGAGATGCTGAGGCATGATAATAATGTTCAACTGTGCCAAAGGATTAGGAGATGCTGAGGCATGATAATAATGTTCAACTGTGCCAAAGGATTAGGAGATGCTGAGGCATGATAATAATGTTCAACTGTGCCAAAGGATTAGGAGATGCTGAGGCATGATAATAATGTACAACTGTGCCAAAGGATTAGGAGATGCTGAGGCATGATATTAATGTACAACTGTGCCAAAGGATTAGGAGATGCTGAGGCATGATAATAATGTACAACTGTGCCAAAGGATTAGGAGATGCTCAGGCATGATAATAATGTACAACTGTGCCAAAGGATTAGGAGATGCTGAGGCATGATAATAATGTACAACTGTGCCAAATGATTAGGAGATGCTGAGGCATGATAATAATGCACAACTGTGCCAAAGGATTAGGAGATGCTGAGGCATGATAATAATGTACAACTGTGCCAAAGGATTAGGAGATGCTGAGGCATGACTATAATGTACAACTGTGCCAAAGGATTAGGAGATGCTGAGGCATGATAATAATGTACAACTGTGCCAAAGAATTAGGAGATGCTGAGGCATGATAATAATCTACAACTGTGCCAAAAGGTTAGGAGATGCGGGGGCATGATAATAATGTACAACTGTGCCAAAGGGTTAGGAGATGCTGAGGCATGATAATAATGTACAACTGTGCCAAAGGATTAGGAGATGCTGAGGCATGGTAATAATCTACAACTGTGCCAAAGGGTTAGGAGATGCTGAGGCATGGTAATAATGTACAACTATGCCAAAGGATTAGGAGATGCTGAGGCATAATAATAATGTACAACTGTGCCAAAGAATTAGGAGATGCTGAGATATGATAATATTGTAAAACTGTGCCAAAGGATTAGGAGATGCTGAGGCATGAAAATACTGTACAACTGTGCCAAAGGATTAGGAGATGCTGAGGCATGGTAATAATCTACAACTGTGCCAAAGGGTTAGGAGGTGCTGAGGCATGGTAATAATGTACAACTGTGCCAAAGGGTTAGGAGATGCTGAGGCATGATAATAATGTACAACTGTGCCAAAGGATTAGGAGATGCTGAGGCATGATAATAATGTACAACTGTGCCAAAGAATTAGGAGATGCTGAGGCATGAGAATATTGTACAACTCTGCCAAAGGGTTAGGAGATGCTGAGGCATGATAATAATGTACAACTGTGCCAAAGGATTAGGAGATGCTGAGGCATGACAATAATGTACAACTGTGTGAAAGGGTTAGGAGATGCTGAGGCATGATAATAATCTACAACTGTGCCAAAAGGTTAGGAGATGCGGAGGCATGATAATAATGTACAACTGTGCCAAAGGGTTAGGAGATGCTGAGGCATGATAATAATGTACAACTGTGCCAAAGGATTAGGAGATGCTGAGGCATGATAATAATGTACAACTGTGCCAAAGGATTAGGAGATGCTGAGGCATGATAATATTGTACAACTGTGCCAAAGGATTAGGAGATGCTGAGGCATGATAATAATGTACAACTGTGCCAAAGGATTAGGAGATGCTGAGGCATGATAATAATGTACAACTGTGCCAAAGGGTTAGGAGATGCTGAGGCATGATAATAATGTACAACTGTGCCAAAGGATTAGGAGATGCTGAGGTATGATAATAATGTACATCTGTGCCAAAGGGTTAGGAGATGCTGAGGCATGATAATAATGTACAACTGTGCCAAAGGGTTAGGAGATGCTGAGGCATGGTAATAATCTACAACGGTGCCAAAAGGTTAGGAGATGCGGAGGCATGATAATAATGTACAATTCTGCCAAAGGGTTAGGAGATGCTGAGGCATGATAATAATGTACAACTGTGCCAAAGGATTAGGAGATGCTGAGGCATGATAATAATGTACAACTGTGCCAAAGGGTTAGGAGATGCTGAGGCATGATAATAATGTTCAACTGTGCCAAATGGTTAGGAGATGCTGAGGCATGATAATAATGTACAACTGTGCCAAAGGATTAGGAGAAGATCAGGCATGATAATAATGTACAACTGTGCCAAAGGATTAGGAGATGCTGAGGCATGATAATAATGTACAACTGTGCCAAAGGAGTAGGAGATGCTGAGGCATGATAATAATGTACAACTGTGCCAAAGGATTAGGAGATGCTGAGGCATGATAATAATATACAACTGTGCCAAAGGATTAGGAGATGCTGAGGCATGATAATAATGTTCAACTGTGCCAAAGGATTAGGAGATGCTGAGGCATGATAATAATGTACAAATGTGCCAAAGGGTTAGGAGATGCTGAGGCATGATAATAATGTTCAACTGTGCCAAAGGATTAGGAGATGCTGAGGCATGATAATAATGTACAACTGTGCCAGAGAATTAGGAGATGCTGAGGCATGATAATAATGTACAACTGTGCCAAAGGATTAGGAGATGCTGAGGCATGACAATAATGTACAACTGTGTGAAAGGGTTAGGAGATGCTGAGGCATGATAATAATCTACAACTGTGCCAAAAGGTTAGGAGATGTGGAGGCATGATAATAATATACAACTGTGCCAAAGGGTTAGGAGATGCTGAGGCATGATAATAATGTACAACTGTGCCAAAGGATTAGGAGATGCTGAGGCATGACAATAATGTACAACTGTGTGAAAGGGTTAGGAGATGCTGAGGCATGATAATAATCTACAACTGTGCCAAAAGGTTAGGAGATGTGGAGGCATGATAATAATGTACAACTGTGCCAAAGGGTTAGGAGATGCTGAGGCATGATAATAATGTACAACTGTGCCAAAGGAGTAGGAGATGCTGAGGCATGATAATAATGTACAACTGTGCCAAAGGATTAGGAGATGCTGAGGCATGATAATAATATACAACTGTGCCAAAGGAGTAGGAGATGCTGAGGCATGATAATAATGTACAACTGTGCCAAAGGATTAGGAGATGCTGAGGCATGATAATAATGTACAAATGTGCCAAAGGGTTAGGAGATGCTGAGGCATGATAATAATGTACAACTGTGCCAAAGGAGTAGGAGATGCTGAGGCATGATAATAATGTACAACTGTGCCAAAGGATTAGGAGATGCTGAGGCATGATAATAATATACAACTGTGCCAAAGGAGTAGGAGATGCTGAGGCATGATAATAATGTACAACTGTGCCAAAGGATTAGGAGATGCTGAGGCATGATAATAATGTACAAATGTGCCAAAGGGTTAGGAGATGCTGAGGCATGATAATAATGTTCAACTGTGCCAAAGGATTAGGAGATGCTGAGGCATGATAATAATGTACAACTGTGCCAGAGAATTAGGAGATGCTGAGGCATGATAATAATGTACAACTGTGCCAAAGGATTAGGAGATGCTGAGGCATGACAATAATGTACAACTGTGTGAAAGGGTTAGGAGATGCTGAGGCATGATAATAATCTACAACTGTGCCAAAAGGTTAGGAGATGTGGAGGCATGATAATAATATACAACTGTGCCAAAGGGTTAGGAGATGCTGAGGCATGATAATAATGTACAACTGTGCCAAAGGATTAGGAGATGCTGAGGCATGACAATAATGTACAACTGTGTGAAAGGGTTAGGAGATGCTGAGGCATGATAATAATCTACAACTGTGCCAAAAGGTTAGGAGATGTGGAGGCATGATAATAATGTACAACTGTGCCAAAGGGTTAGGAGATGCTGAGGCATGATAATAATGTACAACTGTGCCAAAGGAGTAGGAGATGCTGAGGCATGATAATAATGTACAACTGTGCCAAAGGATTAGGAGATGCTGAGGCATGATAATAATATACAACTGTGCCAAAGGAGTAGGAGATGCTGAGGCATGATAATAATGTACAACTGTGCCAAAGGATTAGGAGATGCTGAGGCATGATAATAATGTACAAATGTGCCAAAGGGTTAGGAGATGCTGAGGCACCACAGTCCATAAACATTGGGCTTTTAGGCCTGATAGAGGTGTGCCACATTTAGGTTTCTGTTAGGCCTGATAGAGGTGTGCCACCTTTAGGTTTCTGTTAGGCCGGATAGAGGTGTGCCACCTTTAGGTGTCTGTTAGGCCTGATAAAGGTGTGCCACCTTTAGGTGTCTGTTAGGCCTGATAGAGGTGTGCCACCTTTAGGTGTCTGTTAGGCCTGATAGAGGTGTGCCACCTTTAGGCTTCTGTTAGGCCTGATAGAGGTGTGCCACCTTTAGGCTTCTGTTAGGCCTGATAGAGGTGTGCCACCTTTAGGTGTCTGTTAGGCCTGATAGAGGTGTGCCACCTTTAGGCTTCTGTTAGGCCTGATAGAGGTGTGCCACATTTAGGTTTCTGTTAGGCCTGATAGAGGTGTGCCACCTTTAGGTTTCTGTTAGGCCTGATAGAGGTGTGCCACCTTTAGGTTTGTTAGGCCTGATAGAGGTGTGCCACCTTTAGGTTTCTGTTAGGCCTGATAGAGGTGTGCCACCTTTAGGTTTCTGTTAGGCCTGATAGAGTTGTGCCACCTTTAGGTTTCTGTTAGGCCTGATAGAGGTGTGCCACCTTTAGGTTTCTGTTAGGCCTGATAGAGGTGTGCCATCTTTAGGTGTCTGTTAGGCCTGATAGAGGTGTGCCACCTTTAGGCTTCACACTTAATTCCACCACTCCCCCACTTACTCAGCGTTTCACGCAGAGATGCCAATTATACTCCAACTATGAGGATGTGAAGTTTCCCACCCTGATAGCATTTGTTAAACGTGCCCAAGTCCCCCTCCTGTCCTGGGATAGACCACATTTCACTACGACCGTTAATGACATTGTCAAAGCCCCATAAGTGGTGAGCATTGAGCATACTGACCAAGATTGTATAATTTGACAAAGATGCGCTTAAATACTCACCGGCCACGTGAATCCAAAAGAAAACGGAATAGGGTTGGCGAAGGCTTCTGCAATTGTTTCCGGCACTTGGAAGGAGTTTGATCCGAGGACAGGAGTCACCGAACCACCATAGGTACAAGGGGGTTCCGGTGATACGTGAACTTGATAATGCTTCAAGCAGATTCTAAAAAACGTTTTGCATTCACACTGCTGAATCCCAGAGGCTCCTTTGCAGCAGTTTGTATTGCCTGTCACTCCTTTCTTGTTGAGAAACTCTTGTACCTTCAACTCGAAAACCCCTGAACAACAACCCTGTAAAAACACAATAAAAACATGAAGGTTGTATTCTATTATGTTTTTATATGTAGCCTACACATGACTAATGAATACACTTAAATTACAAATCAATTCAAAAGAGAGTAGAATTGCAATACCTGGCATATCAAGACACAAAGGATGACAGCTATCACGAGCGACTGACGTCCCATTTTGCTGAGGATATTCAATAAATAGTTAAATGTCCACGAGCCAGGGCAATTGATGTATAACCCAGCTCAGAAAATCATTGAGAAAGTTATTTTCCGTTATCAAAAGTCCCACTTAAAAATCCGTACGGTCTTCAGACGTCTTGAATGGAACTGGAGTGTATCTCGATGCTTCTCAGTGTGACTTCATGAACAAAGTTTATAGTACAACGTAATCCTCAACAAGTGGTGCCGGTGACGAAAAATCCCAACGAAAAATGTGGGAATGAACTCGAAATTCCGTGCCAAGGTGTTAATTCCAATCCAGTTATTAGATATTGCTGTTCAGCACAGCTTCTGACTTGAGGGTGCAAATGAGACAACCCAGTTTTAAGTCTGCTTGTGTTTTGTTTATTTCCCCTTAATTGATAATGAGAAAAAAATATACTGATCCAAAACACTTCCCCAAAGCTTTCTCAGTTCTTCACCCTATGTAGCAATGCTTGTGTCTGACATCCCAACCAGCCTGCCGCCAGTTATATACAGACGGCGCTGCTACGGTAATGATATGCAAACGAGCTAGTCTACTCCCCAATCTGTCTCGAGCTGTAACAAAGGGACACTTTTCAAAACCTCCCTCTCAAAAGATCGCCAAATGGTCACTGAGCTGTAAAATGTGCAACCCTTCCCCATGGCACAAAACAAAACATTCTCATTTACATTCCAACAAATTTTTCACCTCAAGAATCCTTTACATCCCTCTCTGACATAAACCACAAATGACATCACAGAACATCTCGGCATAGTAAAACCCATGTAGGCTACTGTACGCTCCAAATAGACCTACATCTGCCACGAGCTCTCCAATGTAAGACTATTTTTCATTCTTTTTTTAGCTTTTCATCATCCCCCTTTTCTCCTAAACTTTGCTTTTCATTTTTATTATTTTTTATTTTGTTATAGTGTGCCCATATAAACTGTTTATTCACACAATAACAAATCGTGTATTTAATCATAATATAAAACTAATGGTCAACATTAATTAACATTTAATCAAAATGGAAAATCAATAACTTATAAATAGGTTTTCACATAGCTCTTGGAAAATCTTGCCCAAAACCTAAGGATATTATCTCGATATAATTCAATGAAATCTACACAAACATAGATGTTTGCACATTACGCATGTGCAATGGTTTTCGTGAATTTTTTATGAGTTTTTAAAACTTGACACATCAACAGGTCAAGTGGATGCTTTTTTCCTTGTATTTTTTACAACTGTAAATATTGTGTTGACTTTAGGCATATATGTATAGATTTAACATTTAACATTCTTGTATGCTGGGCAGTAAAAACTGAGCTGGTGTATCGTTCGCATGGCTGTCATTAAGGCACTTTGTTATTGTGCGGGCCGGGGGAAAGAATACGTTTCTTCTTTGTGCTCTCAGCTGTATGGTAATTCAGGCAGCAGCACCTGCTCTCTCCACAATGTACTAGGGAGAAAGAGCTCCCCTCCGCGCACGCTGCCGTCCCTACAACAATGTCCTCAGTTTAAAAAACACGTAGTTTGCTATTCCAGAAAAAAGTCTTCCGTTTTTTGGTTATTTCAATATTAGCCAACAACATAGATTTTTCAACTAGCCTATAACATTCGGTAAACTGTCCATTCTTTTTCATTGCTGAAACTTTTAGAAACACATTTGTGTCCTGTGAAAGAGGACATCATTTGTAATGGTGGTTCTAAGCTGATTACTCTGCCTCTCTCTGGTGACACTGAGAGAGTGTGTGTGAGGGCGTGTCGGGTGGTCTTAATTAGGACGCTAATTGAAACGGAATTTCAATTTTTGGCGGGTGGCAGCAATACATTTGAATTTTTGAGCGGCGTTCCAAAACAAGGAAAGCATTGATCCCATGCGCAATTACGCAACGTTTTCCCCCGTGTGTTTTAGTCTACGCTTGGGTTTACTAAGGCATTGTGTGTAGCCTATGTAATGTCTGACTGATGTTTTTCTGTTTAGAATCCTTATAATGTATAATGATCAAGATATGACACTTCCAAATAAAGATTTGGAATAGGTGCCTACCTTTGTACCCAAAGGAAAAGGCGGAGAGAGAACATTTCAAACTATGACTAATAACATTATTCATGTGTCTACATGGCCATATGTATTCGACGATCCGAGTTGTATTTAACAAATTGGTTATTCAATACACTGAATGCAGTAATCCGAAGGATGTGTCTCCACGTTTTTACAGGTTTTTGCTCTGTGCGTAATTCTGCGTGCTTGAGGTTTATGCGTTCGCTGCACTATCAGGTATTTATTATATTGACGTGGCACGCATTTATCGATTATGGCAGCAAAAGCGTAACTGAAAGGTATGGTGAAATCCTTCTGGATCATGATCACTACACGTATTATTTTCAAACAAAATGTATGCCTCGAAATTCTGTCTTGGCTAAATCAAGCAGAAAGTTTCTTCTTCGAACTCCCCCTTCATTCTGAAGGTGGACTATGGGGAGACTGTTTAACTTAAGTGTTTCTATAGGGGGCTGTTGTACTTTAACTCCTGCCCACCAGTAGCTCCAATGAACAAAAGAGAGACTCGAGGTCTGACTATTCATCTTTTCTTTGCGCTTTAATTTTCATTGATTTTGAATACAAGGGGAAGCCCTTGGGGATTCTATCTGAAGGGCACGACACGCCTTTAGACGCGGACAGCCCCCCAAGCCAACCATCTGCTCCACACCAAATGGCGTTTTCCCCCCAACCTCAACTGCATGTCTCTACATATTGCACAGTCTACATCCAAATTGGACTGGAAGCATGTTAAAGAGACTGCAACGGTATGATGCTGACCATATGGTTAGGGAAGCCAGAACTTACGTTTTTCGGATAGATTGCTCGTGGGAACATAAAAACTGTGAACATCACACCATAACGACCAGATAGATAGCAACTCAGGCGTATAGCCTACGTTACCATTCACTAGAATTCTACCTAATTTTAAGTCGCCTACCGCGGTACGCGCAATTGCTCTTTTGGATCAATATTAAAAGTTATCAATAGTATGACCTGCTGTTATAACTGTGTTGAATAAATATGTTATTAGTTGTAAATAATAAATACATGTTTTGAACAACAGACACCAGTCAACATAACAGAAATGTCTAACTTTTTGCTTAGTCAAATAGACATGCAGGCAACAGGTGGAATGTGCTGAGGCATCTCTTCTTTCAATCGTCCTCAGTGATATAACTGGACTGGAGTTCAGACAGATGACGGAGCTTGTTTAGCGCGCTGAATCTCCACCTAGATTTATTTTTAGAACAATGAGTCTCTCGTCGGCATCCTGTGTGATGCTGCAAAGTAATTGTGCTGTAATTGTGCTGATTACAATTATAAATAATCTGTCGCGTGGCTCGATTGCCTGCCTCCAGATGATGGATAGAAGCAGTTCAGCCTCACCCCATGACGACAGAAACTCGATAGCAAATCATCTGCTCGCTTTGGCCCTGCCCCTATTTTAATGACAATACCCGTGTGATTACCTGTGATCCTATGAACGAGACGGGATTCATTTGTCTTCAAGAAGTCCGATTACTCCGGCCAGCTGCTCTATGAGTGAACAAGGACCAATTTCAAAGAGGCCGTTCTTTGTGCCCTGTATGTTGTTGGGGTCATAGGGGGAGATTGGGGTAACTGTGTGCGTGTTTGTGCGTGGGTGTGTACGCGCGTATTTGTGTGCATTCTTCAGGACAGGGTTTACTGCTGAGCCTCTCTTGAATTCTTTAGCAGAGTGGAAGGCAGTCGCGTGCTTTATTGAAAACATCTGCTTCTGTTCTGGGTGTTTTTTTCCTTGTGTGTCAAGCTTGGGTCCTAGAGGGGGTTGGAAAAAATCAATAAAAAGTTAGAGGTGATCTAAACGGCAATAACAAGAAGTAGGCCATATGCCTATATAACCTATAGGCATAATATCCTAAGAAAATCCCTGATTCAGTGGATTAGACCTATAGCCTAAGGTAGCCTAGAAAAGGTCTAATTCACTCCATGAAGTTAGCAGGAAAGATTGTTGAGACTATCTTTGTCTGCTCTAGTAGCTGCTGTTCTGAATTCTCTGGAACCCTCTTCCCAATAGATAAAGGTCTGAATTTTAGCACAGATTGGCAGATTATGTTACGTAACAGCTTTTAGTTTTTAGCAAATTGCATCCCAACCCCCATAAAACCACAGTCACTATTTCACGTTGGGGATGAGCTCCAGTGCTAGGATACCATCAGACCGTCATTATGAGCCCCTCACCCCCAATTCCGGAGCAAGGCAATCTGAATTACGGCACAACGCCATCCCACTGAATGGAGGATTTAACGGGGCGGTGCCCCTTTAGAATGGCTCCCCAGGTCCCTGGGAGCATCTGCCCAGAGATGAACAGATGTAGGCACCTGTGGTGACAGCCTGCATATGCTCCAACCCATTCACACTTTTCAAGTCATGGCCACAATAGAAGATAAAGCTTTGTGTGCATAGTATTATAACTCCTGGATGATCTATTTCTCAACAGCAGTAGGCCGACATCTACTTTTTATTAGGCCTAGTTAAACAGCTTCACTATTGAACTCTTTCTCCAACTTTATTTTCAAACGTTCAACAAATTATTAAGTTATGAAGTGGGACAACTTTTAGGCAATTTAGCAGCCAACCTGAATCATAGCCTAGGCCCTAGGCTTAGTTCTTGTTATTAAACAGTTCAAACATTCTGTTGCAATAGCTAGAATACGTCTCCCAAACGGCTACTGTGGGGATGTCTCAAAAATAGAAACAAATGTTGCAAACTTGCAAACTTAAGAGAAGAGAAGAACAGCGCCGGAGAAGATGGCTGCCGTTTTACAGCCCTCTAACCAATTGTACTATTATGTGTGTTTTTCCGCGTTATTTGTAATTTATTTTGTACATAATGTTTCTGCCATCGTCTCTTATAACCAAAAAGAGCTTCTGGATATCAGGACAGCGATTACTCACCTCGTATTGGACGAAGATTTTTTCTTCAACGAGGCGGCCGCGAAGGATATCATACAGACACCCGACGAGGCCCAAATCCCCGTCATTCGCGTGAGGAAGAGACGGAGATATCGTGGACGTAGATCGGGGTGCCTTGTAAGGATCCGACGGCGAGCGAGTAAACTGCCTCTTCCATCAATCCTATTAGCCAACGTTCAATCATTTTAAAATAAATTGGATGACTTAAAATTACGGTTATCCTACCAACGGGACATTAAAAACTGTAATATCTTATGTTTCACCGAGTCGTGGCTGAACGACGACATGGATTTCATACAGCTAGCGGGCGATACGCTACATCGGCAGGATAGAACGGCTGACTCCGGTAAGACAAGGGGTGGCGGTCTGTGTATATTTGTAAACAACAGCTGGTGCACAAAATCAAATACTAAGGAAGTCTCGAGGTTTTGCTCGCCTGAGGTAGAATATCTTATGATAAGCTGTAGACCACACTATTTACCAAGAGAGTTTTCATCTATATTTTTCATAGCTGTCTATTTACCACCACAAACCAATGCTGGCATTAAGATTGCACTGAATGAGTTGTACAAGGCCATAAATCAACAGGAAAACGTTCATCCAGATGCAGCGCTCCTAGTGGCCGGGGACTTTAATGCAGGGAAACTTAAATCCGTTCTACCTAATTTCTACCAGCATGTTAAATGTGCAACCAGAGGAAAAAAAACTCTAGACCACCTTTACTCCACACACAGAGATGCATACAAAGTTCTCCCTCGCCCTCCATTTGGCAAATCTGACCATAACTCTATCCTCCTGATTCCTGCTTATAAGCAAAAACTAAAGAAGGAAGCACCAGTGACTCGGTTAATAAAAAAGTGGTCAGATGACGCAGATGCTAAGCTACAGGACTGTTTTGCTAGCACAGACTGGAACATGTTCCGGGATTCTTCAGACAGCATTGAGGAGTACACCACATCAGTCACTGGCTTCATCAATAAGTGCATCGATGATGTCGTCCCCACAGTGACCGTACGTACATACCCCAACCAGAAGCCATGGATTACAGGAAACATCCGCACTGAGCTAAAGGGTAGAGCTGCCGCTTTCAAGGAACGTGACTCTAATCCGGACGCTTATAAGAAATCCTGCTATGACCTCCGACGAACCATCAAACAGGCAAAGAGTCAATACAGGACTAAGATTGAATCGTACTACACTGGCTCTGACGCTCGTCGGATGTGGCAGGGCTTGAAAATTATTACAGACTACAAAAGGAAGCACAGCCGCGAGCTGCCCAGTGACACAAGCCTACCAGACGAGCTAAACCACTTCTATGCTCGCTTCGAGGCAAGCAACACTGAAGCATGCATGAGAGCACCAGCTGTTCCGGATGACTATGTGATCACGCTCTCCGTAGCCGATGTGAGTAAAACTTTTAAGCAGGTCAACATTCACAAGGCCGCAGGGCCAGACGGATTACCAGGATGTGTACTCCGAGCATGTGCTGACCAACTGGCAAGTGTCTTCACTGACATTTTCAACATGTCCCTGACTGAGTCTGTAATACCAACATGTTTCAAGCAGACCACCATAGTCCCCGTGCCCAAGGACTCTAAGATAACCTGCCTAAATGACTACCGACCCGTAGCACTGACGTCTGTAGCCATGAAGTGCTTTGAAAGGCTGGTCATGGCTCACATCAACAGCATTATCCCAGAAACCCTAGACCCACTCCAATTTGCATACCGCCCCAACAGATCCACAGATGATGCAATCTCTATTGCACTCCACACTACCCTTTCCCACCTGGACAAGAGGAACACCTACGTGAGAATGCTATTCATTGACTACAGCTCAGCATTCAACACCATAGTGCCCTCTAAGCTCATCACTAAGCTAAGGATCCTGGGACTAAACACCTCCCTCTGCAACTGGATCCTGGACTTCCTGACGGGCCGCCCCCAGGTGGTAAGGGTAGGTAACAACACATCTGCCACACTGATCCTCAACACGGGGGCCCCTCAGGGGTGCGTGCTCAGTCCCCTCCTGTACTCTCTGTTCACCCATGACTGCATGGCCAGGCATGACTCCAACACCATCATTAAGTTTGCCGACGACACAACAGTGGTAGGCCTGATCACAGACAACGATGAGACAGCCTATAGGGAGGAGGTCAGAGACCTGGCCGTGTGGTGCCAGGACAACAACCTCTCCCTCAACGTGACCAAGACAAAGGAGATGATTGTGGACTACAGGAAAAAAAAGAGGACTGAGCACGCCCCCATTCTCATCGACGGGGCTGTAGTGGAACAGGTTGAGAGCTTCAAGTTCCTTGGTGTCCACATCACCAACAAACTATCATGGTCCAAACACACCAAGACAGTCGTGAAGAGGGCACGACAATGCCTATTCCCCCTCAGGAGACTGAAAAGATTTGGCATGGGTCCTCAGATCCTCAAAAAATTATACAGCTGCACCATCGAGAGCATCCTGACTGGTTGCATCACCGCCTGGTATGGCAACTGCTTGGCCTCCGACCGCAAGGCACTACAGAGGGTAGGGCGTACGGCCCAGTACATCACTGGGGCCAAGCTTCCTGCCATCCAGGACCTCTATACCAGGCGGTGTCAGAGGAAGGCCCTCAAAATTGTCAAAGACTCCAGCCACCCTAGTCATAGACTGTTCTCTCTGCTACTGCACGGCAAGCGGTACCGGAGTGCCAAGTCTAGGTCCAAAAGACTTCTCAACAGCTTCTACCCCCAAAGCCATAAGACTCCTGAACAGCTAATCATGGCCTACCCCGGACCTATTTGCACTGTCCCCCCCACCCCATCCTTTTTACGCTGCTGCTACTCTGTTAATTATTTATGCATAGTCACTTTAACTCTACCCACATGTACATATTACCTCAACTACCTCAACTAGCCGGTGCCCCCGCACATTGACTCTGCAACGGTACCCCCCTGTATATATTAGCCTCCCTACGGATCACTTTATTTTATTCTGCTCTTTTTTCTAAAACACTTTTTTTTGCTGTTGTGTGTTTATTTTTACTTGTTTTGTTAAAAATAAATGCACGGTGTTAAGGGCTGTAAGTAAGCATTTCACTGTATTCTGCACCTGTTGTATTCGCGAATGTGACCAATACAATTGTTTGATTTGATTGATTTGATTTGTTGCAGATGTTACATTGAAACAGTTAAAAACAATGTAGACCTCACACGCTGTGTTGTGTTTTGAGCTCTTGCATGCTGATGCAACTAGCATCCAGTCAAACACAGGAAGTGATCCTATCTGCACCTGTTGTATTCGCGATGTGACCAATAAAATTTGGATTTGATTTGATTGATTTTTTGTTGCAGAATGTTACATTGTAAAAGTTAAACAATGTATACCCTGCACCCGCTGTGTTTTGGTTTTGCGCTCTTGCATTCTGATGCAACCTAGCATCCAGTTCAAAACAGGAAGTGATCCTATTTCTGCTGACGACTAGCTAGCCCGCACGCTGCCAAGTATCATAAGGTTAAAGTAAGTAAGACCACATTTGGTGCATCACGTACACACAGTTATGCAGACTGCAATGCATCGAATGCAGATACAGTGCAAACCTGTAGTTGCTTGCCAGGCCCAGGGGTTGGTTAGCTAGCTAGCTAGCTAGTTAGCTAAATGCAGGTCCTGCAGACTGAAAAGCATGGCCAGAGAGGCACACTCAGTGCGCTTTGAAACTATTATTCTGAATATTCTGTGAGCATTATACCTATTTAGTCAGTCATTAATTCACTTGCATGACGTACATTGACTAGTATGAGCTAGTGTAATTTATTGCTCCTAGCCACTATTTAAAACGTATATATTTAATTTGTCTTTGTACGAGTTGGTATAAAAGGCTTGCAGTATTTCATGGAGAAATGTTGTCCAGAAACCTGTGGACCTCAGGGAGATGGCAAGGCAGCATGTCAACAGCCACCAACAGGGCAGCAGCACCACTCCTCCTACACTGGTATGGTGGCTGTCTGTCTGAGAGACTGGTATGGTGGCTGGCTGTCTGAGGGACTGGTATGGTGGCTGGCTGTCTGAGAGACTGGTATGGTGGCTGGCTGTCTGGGGGACTGGTATGGTGGCTGGCTGTCTGGGGGAACTGGTTATGGTGGCTGTCTGTCTGAGGGACTGGTATGGTGGGCTGGCTGTCTGAGGGACTGGTTATGGTGGCTGGCTGTCTGAGGGACTGGTATGGTGGCTGGCTGTCTGGGGGACTGGTATGGTGGCTGGCTGTCTGAGGGACTGGTATGGTGGCTGTCTGTCTGGGGGAACTGGTATGGTGGCTGGCTGTCTGGGGGACTGGTTATGGTGGCTGGCTGGTCTGGGGGACTGGTATGGTGGTGGCTGTCTGAGGGACTGGTTATGGTGGCTGGCTGTCTGGGGGACTGGTATGGTGGCTGGCTGTCTGGGGGACTGGTATGGTGGCTGGCTGTCTGAGGGACTGGTATGGTGGCTGGCTGTCTGGGGGAACTGGTATGGTGGCTGGCTGTCTGAGGGACTGGTATGGTGGCTGGCTGTCTGGGGGACTTGGTATGGTGGCTGGCTGTCTGGGGGACTGGTATGGTGGCTGGCTGTCTGGGGGACTGGTATGGTGGCTGGCTGTCTGGGGGACTGGTATGGTGGCTTTCTGTCTGAGGGGACTGGTATGGTGGCCAGTGGAAAGCGTTCATGCATTGCCTGGAGGAGTTTGTGGGTGCGTTCATGACTGCAGGTATCCGACTTGTGTATTTCTTCGTCTGGGTAGTGGAAGAAGTCAAACAGGCAGAGTGGGTGAAACGGCAACTGAGGGTCAACGAGGAGGTTGCCAGGGTGTTCCACCATTTAAAGTGTCATGGTCAACAGCCTGGCCGGGAGCTGTTCTGCCTCCCCCCAGGGCTGGCCACCTTCTCTCGCTTTGCCCTCAAGTCTCTAGGCCAGGAAACCTGGTGTTCTGTCCGCGAGGCCGAATATGAGATCAACAGCTTTGCCCTCCGTCACAACTGTAGGACATCCTGGGGCAGGACACAGACTTCATAATCTTTGTCTCAGTCCCCTATCTATCTGTGAGTCAGCTGAGGCTAGACACCATGACCACCGTGCTGATTTCCAGAGACAAACTGTGTCACTCCCTCCAGCTCCATCTGCTTGCGTGTCTCCTTGGTAATGGTGTGGTGCCAGAGCAGTGGATGCAGCGGCTGCGTAGTGATGCCCTGGCAGCTTACAGAAGGAAACATCCACAGTCTCCACCACAAGGGGAGAAAATGTATGCTGTAGTAAATTTCATCAGTAGCAACAATCTGTCCAGAGTGGGAGCCCATGGTGTTAGCTCTCTGCCTCTAACAGAATGAGAGGTTATGGACAAAGGAATACAGTACTATCTACTTCCTGGTCAAAAGCCAGTATGGGACATTAGTGACACCTCTCCTCGTAGAGGTATCTGATGAAGAGCTACTTGAGTCCTTACAGCAGTGTTTCCCAAACTTGGTCCTCGGGACCCCAAGAGGTGCACGTTTTGTTTTTTGCCTTAACACTACACAGCTGATTCAAATGATCAAAGCTTGATGATTAGTTGATTATTTCAATCAGCTGTGTAGTGCTAGGGCAAAAACCAAAACGTGCACCCCTTGGGGTCCCCAGGACTGAGTTTGGCAAACCCTGCCTTACATCCTCCAGGGAAGAAGCAGATGTAGATTGTTTCAGTTTAATAAGCTAGTAACATAAAAAGCCCAAACAACATGATGGTGATGTTTGTTTTTAATCCTTTTATTTTTTCATACAGGCAGACAAAGAAAAGCACATGCGAGCAGAGTGTTTTATGGTGCACGATGTACTGTATTATGATGTGGTGGAATGCAGTAATACACTAGAAGACAGGGAGGATGCTGAGATCACTCCACAGGCGATTATGTATCAACCTTGCAGAGAACGCCTCTATGGCATTGAGTTACCTTCAAATCCATGTTTTGTATATTATTACGTGGTTATTACAAAATGACATATGGCATGTTGATTGTTACATGGTTATTACAAAATGACATATGGCATGTTGATTGTTACATGGTTATTACAAAATGACATATGGCATGTTGATTGTTACATGGTTATTACAAAATGACATATGGCATGTGGATTATTACATGGTTATTACAAAATGATATATGGCATGTTGATCATTACATGGTTATTACAAAATGACATACGGCATGTTGATCATTACATGGTTATTACAAAATGACATACAGCATGTTGATCATTACATGGTTATTACAAAATGACATACAGCATGTTGATCATTACATGGTTATTACAAAATGACATAAGGCATGTTGATCATTACATGGTTATTACAAAATGACATACGGCATGTTGATCATTACATGGTTATTACAAAATGACATACGGCATGTTGATCATTACATGGTTATTACAAAATGACATACGGCATGTTGATCATTACATGGTTATTACAACAGGTTATTTGTTGCCAGTTTTACTACCAGGCACCATCTCAATGAAACAGGAAGTACACAGAAATACATTGTACATCTTTGGATACATTTCTTGCCATTTATCATGCATCTTTTCTCAGCAGTGGTGGACGGGCCCTCGCTGGATGCCTCTGGTATGTTGTGAATTCTTAACATTAATTTAATAACATGTGGAATAGGTGATTTCATATTGATGCAAGGTGCTGTAGATGGATTTATCTCACCCTGAAATAATATTTTCCAGATTTTAAGGTTTTATGTTCTGGGAAGGACTCTGAAACGATATGCCTCCGCATCACCACCTTCTTGGCAGTATTTGAGTTGGATTAATTCTCAGTGGAACATGATCGTCTGGAAGGCTCTCTGATGGCTGTGCTGTGCCTTTTGACCTACATTGCCATGCAGGTGAGGAAAATACTATGTTTTAGTGTGGAGTTTTTTTTTGTCTGGTTATTTACAAACGCCTTTACTTCATTCAGCCTCTCGTCTCAGAGAGGCTGAATCATGATTGAAGAACATAGAATCAGTCTCCCCTCTGGGGTTTTACAATGTTGCCGTTGGTCTAGCTCTTATCATTGACCTTTATTATGACATGAGGGCTGGTATTATCACTTAGGAGAGATGGTGCCGACGGAGAAGGCAACATCTTATGAGTTCTAGCCCAACTTTGCTATATAGTGACGTGTATCGTGTTTATCTTTACTTTTTTGTACAGAAAGTTAATACTATTATCACATATGACCACCAAGCACTTCTGGACATCAGATCGACACTTACTAACCTCGATTTCCACTTCAAATACGACTCAGCTGTTCCTGTTCATACCCTATTCCTATCTTCCATGTGCTACGCGGGAGATGAGGCGGAGTCCTGGTAAAATTGAGACGAAGAGAAAACCGAATGGCTCGCCCCTCCATTCTATTGGCAAATGTCCAGTCACTCGAGAATAAGATGGATGAGCTTCGTTCGAGAGTCTCCTATCAGAGAGACTTGAAAAGTTGCAATATATTATGTCTTACTGAAACGTGGCTGGATGATGATGCTATGCACGTAGTACTCGGTGGATTCTCCACGCAGCGGCAGGATCGTACTGCGGCTTCGGGGAAGTCGAAAGGCGGTGGAGTGTGTTTTTTCATAAATAACAACTGGTGTGCTGCTTCAAGTGTGAATAAAATCTTGAGCTTTTGCTCACCTGATATAGAATACCTCATGGTAAGCTGCAGACCCTTTTATCTACCAAGAGAGTTCTCATCCGTATCACAGCTGTCTACATCCCTTCACAAGCCAACACCACTCTGGCACTCAACAAACTGTATCGGGCTATAAACAAACAACTTACCGTTCACCCAGAGGCAGCGTTTCTGGTGGGCAGAGACTTTAACGCGGAGAGACTTAAAACCCATCCTACCTCCATCCTGACATATCACCATGGCTGGTTGGTTGGGTGGAGAACAGGAACATCCCCCAAGTCATCCAGGAGCATCCTACTAGCTCCGTTCACCAGGGAAGGGGAAGATCCCTGCAGAGTACCGGCCAGTTGGCTGTGGAGAGCCGACAAGGCGGCGACACTTCCACCAGACCAGAGCGGCGTCCGGCTTCTGGGGTAGAATAAAAAAAAAAAGTAGGCGGGCGTGGATTCCCTGGTAGCTTGTGTAGGTTCGCTACTTGTTTGCTGAGAGTAGCCACTTTGCCCCTGTAGTCTTCCGCAAGCAAACAGTTGCTACATTAAAAGTCTGGGCGGTCCACATTGTCCCGGAATAAAGCAAAGTAAACACAGCTCCTGCAGCCTTGAAAATGTTCAATAGCGACCTCCATTTGAGACTGCTGAGCCAGCTAAGCTAGCTGGGTTTCCGTGTCTCTCTCTTTACATGGAATCTGGCAGGATCCCGGGACAGATACTAGCGTTCACAGCAACTGAGCCCAACTGAGCGCTGGATCCAAAATCCAAAATCAAAAGTATATAAAATCACACTGCCACAACTTTACAAAAACAATAAACCGATAAACCGAGGTCTCTCGTTCAGCATTCTGATGCTTGTTGTATGTGGCAGGGCTTGCAGACAATAACGAATTACAATGGGAAACTCAGCCATGAGTTGCTCAGCGATGCCGAATTCCCAAATGAGCTAAATGCTTTTTATTCTCACTTCAAGGAATATACCACTGTGCCTTGCGTGAAAACCCCCTGTTTTTCCGGATGACCCTGTGATCTCGCTCATCATGGCCAATGTGAGCTAAACCTTTAAACAGGTTAACAATCACAAGGCCGGAACAGACGGAATACCAGAGCGCGTTCTCAAACATTTTCATTCTCTCCTTGTCCCAGTCTGTAATCCCAACATGTTTCAAGCTGACCACCATTGTCCCTGTTCCCAAGAGCTCCAAGGTAACCTGCCTAAATGACTACCGCCCTGTAGCACTCACATCTGTAATTATGAAGTGCTTTGAAAGGCTGGTCATGACACACATCAACACCATCATCCTAAACACACTAGACCCACTCCAATTCGCATACCACCCCAACAGATCCACAGATGACACAATCTCAACTGCACTTCACACTGCCCTCTCCCACCTGGACAAGAGGGGAAATAACTGTGTTAGAATAGACTACAGCTCAGTTTAACACCATAGTCCCCTCCAAGCTCAGGGACCTTGGGACTGAACCCCTCACTCTGCAAGTAGATCCTGGATTTCCTGACGGGCCGACCCCTGGTAGTGAGGGTAGGCAACAACACCTCCGCCACACTGACCCTCAACATGGGGGCCCCTCAGGGGTGTGTGCTTAGTCCCCACCTTTACTCCCTGTTCACCCACGACTGTGTGGCAATGCATGACTCCAACACCATCATCAAGTTTGCTGACGACACAACGATGGTAGGCCTGATCACCGATGCCGATGAGTCAGCCTACAGGGAGGTCAGAGATTTAGCAGTGTGTTACCAGGGCAACAACCTCTCCCTCAATGTCAGTAAGACCAAGGAGCTGATCGTGGACTACAGGAGAAAGAGGGGAGAGCACGCCCCCATCCACATCGACAGGACTGTTGTGGAGCGGGTCGAGAGCTTTAAGTTCCTTGGCGTCCACATAACTAAGGACTTAACATGGTCCACACACACCTGCACAGTCGTGAAGAGGGCACGGCAGTGCCTCTTCCCTCTCAGGATTCTGAAAAAATGTGGCATGGTCCCTCAGATCCTCAAGAAGTCCTACAGCTGCACCATTGAGAGCATCTTGACTGGCTGCATCACTGCTTGGTATGGCAAATGCACCGCCCTTGACCGCATGGCGCTACAGAGGGTGGTGCGGGCAGCCCAGTACTTCACTGGGGCCGAGCTCCCTGCCATCCAGGACATCTATATCAGGCAGTGTCAGAGGAAGGCCCGAAAAATTGCTTAAGACTCCAACCACCCAAGCCATAGCCTGTTTACTCTGCTACTGTCCTGCAATCGGTACCGGAGCATCGGCTCTCGGACCAACAGGCTCCTAGACAGCTTCTACCCCCAAGCCATAAGTCTGCTAAATAGCCAGACTGCTAAATAGACAATTAATGGTACCTCCTCTATCTTGCACTGACTCTACGCACACTCACTAGACTTTATATACACAGTATTTGCACACTCATACACACATTACACACACATTTTTACACACATCATTTGCTGCTGCTACTCTGTTCTTTATTTTACTCTTATTGTTATCTATCCTGATACCTAGTCACTTTACCCTGCCTTCATGTACATATCTACCTCAAATACCTTATTTTTATCTATCCTGATGCCTAGTCACTTTACCCTGCCTTCATGTACATATCTACCTCAAATACCTTATTATTATCTATCCTGATGCCTAGTCACTTTACCCTGCCTTCATGTACATATCTACCTCAAATACCTCGTACCTCTACACATTGATCTGGTACTGGTACTCCCTGCATATAGCTCCACATTGATCTGGTACTGGTACTCCATGTACAGTGAGGGAAAAAAGTATTTGATCCCCTGCTGATTTTGTACGTTTGCCCACTGACAAAGACATGATCAGTCTATAATTTTAATGGTAGGTGTCACGTTCGTCGAATGACGGGTCAGACCAAGGCGCAGCGTGATATACGTACATGTTTATGAAATTATACACACAACGACAAAACAACAAACGAAACGTGAAGTCCAAGGTAGCACACACAACATACCTTATACGGAACAAGATCCCACAACCCACTAGTGCCAGTAGGCTGCCTAAGTATGATCCCCAATCAGAGACAACGAGCGACAGCTGCCTCTGATTGGGAACCACACCGGCCAACATAGATATATACATACTAGAATAACACCCATTGAAAACGCACAACAAAGAATATACACACCCTGACTCAACATTTAAGCGTTCCCTGAGTCAGGGCGGTACCCCCCCCCCCCAAAGGTGCGGACTCCGACCGCACAACATAAACATAACAGGGTAGGGGCCGGGTGGGCATTCCACCTCGGAGGCGGATCCGGCTCGGGGCGTGACGACCTCTCACTCTCCGCCTCCCTGTTGCGCCCCTGGTCTGGTCTGGACCTCGGCGCGCTGCTTCCCCTCTCCTTCCTCCCACGATACGCCAGGCCCTGTCTGGACCCTGGTGTGGGAGACCCCGAACCTGGAGAGGGGCTGACGTCTGGACTGGAGCCGCTGACCGGAGCTGGACTAGGCACCGGTGGAGCGGACTGCTCTGGCTCCGGAGTGGAGTCGCTGACCGGAGCTGGATCAGGCACCGGTGGAGCGGACTGCTCTGGCTCCGGAGTGGAGCCGCTGACCGGAGCTGGACTGGACCCCGGTGGAGCGGACTGCTCTGGCTCCGGAGTGGCGCAGCTGACCGGAGCTGGATCAGGCACCGGTGGAGCGGACTGCTCTGGCTCCGGAGTGGAGCAGCTGACCGGAGCTGGATCAGGCACCGGTGGAGCGGACTGCTCTGGCTCCGGAGTAGAACAGCTGACCGGAACTGGATCAGGCACCGGTGGAGCGGACTGCTCTGACTCCGGAGTAAACCAGCTGACCGGAACCGGACCAGGCACCGGTGGAACGGGCACGGGCCGTGCCGGACTGGACAAACGCACCACTGGTCTGGTGCGAGGAGCAGGCACGGGCCGGACCGGACTAGGAACACGCACCACTGGCTTGGTGCGAGGGGCAGGAACGGGCCGGGCCGGACTGGCGACGCGCACCACTGGCTTGGTGCGAGGAGAAGGAACAGGCCGGGCCGGGCTGGTGACGCGCACCACTGGCTTGGTGCGAGGAGCAGGAACACTGGTCTGTGCACGCGCACTGGCGATACAGTTCGTAGAACTGGCGCAGGATATGCGGGACCAAGGAGGCGTACTGGAGACCAGGAGCGTTGAGCCGGCACACCCCGTCCTGGCTTGATG